AGTACTTTTACTTGAGTAAATTAGTACTTTTACTTGAGTAAATTAGTACTTTTACTTGAGTAAAGGATGAGTACTTCTTCCACCACTGATAACTCAAGACATTCTTCAGAACAGGCAGGTTTATGATTCGCTAAAACTGCTGCTGTAGTGATAAAAGTGTGACCCTGGTGGCCCTGCTGGTGGACAACCATGTGCTATCGAGGCCGATGGGGAGAATTGCTTATTGTAAGCAACTCCTTGGGATGTTTTATTGTTGCACAGCAGCAGACCTCCAGCCAACAACAGGAAATGGATCAGTGCCACCTTCCTGCCCAGTGTTGAAACCCATTCCCTCATGCATCATGACTAATCTTCCTGTTTCCTGTGCGGTATAATGCAAAGTTGGCTGTACTCCAAGCCTCTCAACTGTGGCAGATTTTGAATAAAAAGTGTTTGGTGTAGTGAAATTTTGTCAGTTTTATTGTCAGTGACACAGTTAAACTTACAGCTGACCTCTACTTATCATTCTTTGATTATATTTAGTTGTGCGTACAACAACCAAAAAGAGGAGTTCCGACAGGAAACCTTTCGGTAAAGTAAGTAGGTGAGGCTGACTCCTGAGAGACATTTAGTGTTCAAATAATTCAGAAGCAGCAGAAATGGACACAGGTCTGTCACGGTCAATGTCAGCCCACCGTCTCACATACTATGGTGTGGCCAGCCAGGCTAGTAGCGTGTCGGCCAACGAGCAAGATTTAGCAAAACATGAGAGCAGAAATGAGAAAAGTCCAGAGTAGCTGCTAACATGCTGTCCTCGGCTGCATCAGGCACAGTTCTTCAGCTGTATCTGCAATGTGTGGGCGAGGTTACTGTAGGACTAAGTAATCAGGATAAACTAGATCTACATACAGTTAAAGCCAATAGTCCACAGCCGTTTAGGAGATGTTTGCAGACAGAAGCCACACCATGTATTCATGCACTGACACTTGTAGGCTACTGTGTAGAAGGCATTCCTCTGTGGTGCTTTGGGGTTGTTTTGTAGCATCTGTTACAGACCTTGCTGGGCATTTGTTTTATCTAGAGCAGGTCAGCCATGCAGGGACTGCTAACGGTTTGATTAACAGCCTCAGAATATCCTGTGGGAACAATCCCCACCTCTGGGGAGTTGCCTTTTAGGCATGAACGCAATGAATTGTTTTAAATCCTCTTTTTCCTTCATCTCTCCTGTTATTCTGCCTTTATTTCTGTTGCCCGTCTTCTCTTTGTCCATGTTCACTTTTCCCCTCTTCATCCTGCTGTCGATGAAGTTGGATTGTTCTACCTTAATAATGTTACTTATATTGCGCTCTTTGCTAACAGCCACTTGCTTCACTTCTGTTCTTCTCCTCTTCCTCAGGTGGAGTTGGCGTTGTGGGATACAGCCGGTCAGGAAGACTATGACAGACTGAGGCCTCTCTCCTACCCTGACACAGACGTTATCCTCATGTGCTTCTCCATAGATAGTCCTGACAGTTTAGGTAAGGCTGCATACACATTGTTTACCTACTCAGCGAAACCGTCGGTAACATTTTAGAAAATGTGTCTCATTAAAGTAATGTAAACAGTCTTTGGTACCACGGCATGGTTTCAGTGACCCGAGAGTCTTGACACAGAAGGAACCTGATTTAAAATAGTGATATGAATTATTTAACTTATTTTATCTTTGTTATGCTACCTCAGTGAGTCAAGGCAGCTGGCATATGTTTCTTTGGTCATTTATACAGAATTGAATTAGTTTTTAAGCAATTGTGAAGAAGCTCCACAAAGTACATATATGGATTCAATCCACAGAAAAAGAAGATGCAAAGAAAATTCAGAGCTTGCATGCCGTACTGATGCTCAATATAGGAAAATAATAACCTGGTTGGGACTGTGCATTGGAAAAAAAAAAACGATATTCAATAATATTTCATACAGATGTAGGAAGGCTCCATTAAATGTCCACATTTCTGTCAGTGCAGTAAAATCCACACCGATCCTCTCTGTTGGTTTTCCCCCTTTTTGATTATTTATGTATTTTGCATTACATTTCCCTGTCCACTGCCTCTGCGCATAATGCAGTTAATGATCCATTTTATGAAAACGTAATGCTTATTTACATTGCGTCTGTTCGCTAGTATGACTACATTATTGGTGTTGTAATTAATCCTGCTGCTGCCGTCGAGACGAGTCACACAGTAAACTGGTAGTCGTGTCTTCAGTGTGGAACTGAACCAGAACAGGGAAGCTGGCCGTTTCTTGGCTCCAGCTATTTGAATAAATAATTTAATATCTTAAAGGAGCAATGTACGGCACTCGGAGCATTCATATAGCAGCAAACTATTTGCTATGTAAATATATGGTGGAGTAATTCCTACCTGAGCAGAGAATGAAGTCACTCACTCTCCCTCTGTGTGGGATGATATCGGACTCTCTCCTTGCTTCTATGACATAGCAGGGCTGGCCGTGCGTGCTTTTAGTGCAAAAGTACATTTTTATCCAAGATGAACCTCTTGTAGATTGATTCTGATCAATGCATCCTTAAGACTCTTTAACTTCATAGATGCATTTTAATTCAGTTGTTTCCACATTTAAAGGAAACGAGATGAACGAGCACATTTCCCGGGGCTTTCTCCCACAGTGTTGTTGATATGGACGATGACAGAGATGGCATGTCTACTCCATCACAGTGGGGCATCTCCCTCCAGACAGCGCAGCATGCTCGCCCATGTATTGGGGAGCAGTGAGTGACCTCTTGATATTTATGTTTGTACAGTCACACGGGAAACTGCACGGGCTCTCCCAACTGTCCTTGTAGGGAAATAAGTCTGGGATTTGCTGTGCAGTGACTTGACTTGTTTTTGTATTTCGTTATTTTTTTCCTTCTTGCAGAGAACATTCCCGAGAAATGGACGCCTGAAGTGAAACACTTTTGTCCCAACGTCCCGATCATTCTCGTGGGTAACAAGAAGGACCTGAGGAATGATGAACACACACGCAGGGAGCTGGCCAAGATGAAACAGGTGTGTGTGTGTGTGTGTGTGTGTGTGTGTGTGTGTGTGTGTGTGTGTGTGTGTGTGTGTGTGAGTGTGAGTGAGTGAGTGAGAGACTCCATATCCTTTTGTTACTGGCAGCAAATGATCCCAAAGCCAGTGCTGGAAGAAGTAGTATTACTGCTCATATTACTTAAGTAAATGTACTAATACCACACATTGAAAATACTCCACTACAAGTAAAACACCTGCATTCAAAACCTTAAGTAAAAGTATACAAGTATTATCAGCAAAATGTACTTTATGTTTGAAAAGTACTCATTGTGTATTAAAATGTTCCCTGTCTGTTTGTGGATGTAAAAAGTACAATATTTACCTCTGTGATGTAGAAGTATAACGTTGCATAAAAGGGAAATACTCTTAAGTAAATGTACCTTGAATTTGTACTAGGGTACAATACTTGAGGAAATGTACTTAATACTATTCTACTACTCTGCTAAACTAATCACTGTTCATTCCAACCCTCCGTCTTTACCGTAAACCTGCAGGAGCCTGTTAAGTCTGAGGAGGGCAGAGACATGGCCAACCGCATCAGTGCCTTCGGCTACCTGGAGTGCTCCGCCAAGACCAAGGACGGCGTGCGGGAGGTGTTTGAGATGGCCACTAGAGCAGCACTGCAGGTCCGCAAGCGTAAGAGGAGGGGCGGCTGCCAGCTACTGTGAAGGGGCGGAGTCTGTTGGCCAATCAGCACCCGAGGGAGGATTCCCCCCCCCCCTTCCTCCCTTGCGCACAGAGCAAACCTAGAGAAACCTTAAATCGATGGCTTCCATGGACTATACTTACTTCACAGATGCAGATATGCCACAGGACAATATGAAAGACTGACACACCTGTTTAAAAGCAAAACCAATCAGCCTTTTTTAACTCTCCTCTGCTACTCACACAACTTTGTTTCTGTTTGTTTGCTGTTCTGTCTTCCTCCACCAGCCTGTTGGTGTGAAGGACCTGTCCCTCCCTCTTATATGAATGTATGTTTGTATTTATATGTGCATATACTTTACAAACATATCATGCCTGTATTATGTTTACAGAAAAGGGTATTGTAGCTCAAATGCCTCCTGAATGGAAAGACAGATTTAGGATTTGCTTTAATAGTATGGAACCCCTGCTCCTCTCCGACCTGCATGCACGACTGTCCCGATTCACCTCTATATCGCACCACTATTCATTTTACACCCTTAAAATCCTTTATCATCAATGTGTTGAGTCAGCAGAGCTCCATTGTCCTCAGCTTTCTCTTCTGGCATTAATGACTAAATTTAGAGCTGCGTTCATCCACTGAAACCTGCGTAAACTGAAGCAGTGGCGGCTATTTGTGTGGAGAGCTTTTGGACTGCACCTCACTGTGTCTCTCTTTCACGGCGATGGCTTAAACCGGCACTGGAGACAGTCGGCTATTGTCATGGACACAATACTCAGTCACGCTCACACTGGCTCCGAGTCCGACAGACTTGCCTCTACCGAGACGTCAACACCTTCCCCAAACAAGCCTTCTGTCTGAACTCTGTACTGTTAAATGAGATCCAGTACACAGTCATTATGCATCACTGTATACTGAATCGACAGCTTTCTGGTCTTAACACACAATGGATGCACACTGTATAATTCAGACAGATTATAGGTCTATTCTGTGCATAAAAGTTTGAATAAAATTTCCAGTTGACAGCTCATATTTTGTCATTACCAATGTGATGTCTCCTCAGTTTGGCTCAGCAGATCAGTAGCTTTCTGGAATATTTGAAATCGGGGCTTTGTTGTTGTGCGATAGGCCTTCATTTGACCCTACACACAAGAGACATGGCTTGAAATGTGATCGGAATAACGAGTATATCCGAGTGTGGGGCCAGTGTCCGGTCAATATCTTTCTCTTGAGTAGTCGCCATTGAAGTAGAGCCAGCTGATAAACAGACCGTGTCAGAACAACGGTGGTGTGTTTGGGCTCAGAGCTGCACCAACACGTCATGAAAGTGCCGTTCACAGAACAAGAAATTGCATTAAGACAACTATCGGTGGTAGCAACTACAATTTGTAGACTTTTCGCCACAAGTGTATTGTCATCACTAAGTGACGTGATCATAAAACCCCCCTCATCTTTTTACTGGCAGCCCTCTGATGCAGTTAGTGTTTCTGCATCATGGCTGAAGCAAAGACATGCATGCAGTACACACAGTGCATGTCTTGTCATGAAAGAATGCAAGTATATTTAATGGTATATTGATCTCACCACTGTCACAAGCTACAATAGTGGTGATCTTATCGGGTACATTCAGACCCACATGGATCAGAATGTTGGGTTCATTGTGTTAAACACCAGAGTTCCAGAGAAATGTTGATTGTGATGACGCTTTACAAACAGGAGTGCGATGTGTTGAATGTCTGGACGAGAGAAACATGCTATTAAAGTATTTTTTAAATACTACGTAATCTTAACTGGTTTGGTTTAGCTTTTTCTTTTTACAAACTGACTTTGTTCGCAAAATCAAAACTTAAAATCTTGCAAATGCGTTTTAAATCTTATAAATGTATTTACATTCATATCGTAGCATTGTTTGCTTTCCCATTCACAAAAGGACTTTGTTTGGACGACGACATTGTTTTAAAATCGCTTAGTTTTAGAAAAGGCAAAACAGTTCAAAATTGACCACAAACATTTTTTAATAGTCAATACTCATTTAAAAAGCTGTATTTTGTAACACTGATTTCAAAATAGATACATGGACACACATACCACTTCATGATTCTAAGAGAGCAGTGGCGATTAAATAACCCTGAGACTGACATTTTTGGTAAAATTCCTTTTTAAAGAACAATATAGATTTATTTAAAAAAATTGAAGCATCTAGTCCAAATAATTTTCTGTGACTTTAACGAGGTTAAAAGGAGCATTTGTAGCTGTTATGAAGTCAAGGGGCGTTTGTGCAGTCCTATAAGGTAGCTAAAGACAAACTGCTCTAAATATGAATCGGCTCATTTAGGGTCTTTGGTCAAGTTCATATCGCTGATGTTACAGGTCTATTGGAATGTTTTATTTGTTTGGATAAAAACGACGACGGGTGACATTAAGCCCTTTTTGAAGAATTTAAGTAAAAATGTAAAATCTTGTCTTGAAACGTCGATGCAAAATGAATCGGGATGGAAGATTGTACTCTGGTTTCCCTCACAGGTCGCTCCTCCACTCGGGGTCCAGAACCTGCTGAACAGCGCTCTCTGCAGTCTCCACTGGCGACAAAAGAATCGGAGAAAGAAAGCAAGGTGGACAATTTTAACATCTATTCAACAATGTTAATTTTGAGGAGTCATGCTACTGAAAACAAAGATGCGTCTGTCACCTTGAATATCGATGTTGATGAAGAGGGCAGCGAGTCTCTCCACCACGTTCAGGTCTTCCTCTAGCTGCTCATAGCCCTCGTAGCCTCCTTCATCTCGACAGTACTGGATGAATCTGCATGGAAGGAGAGAATAATGTATTGACTTTGTGAATTTAAAATGAAATGTTAATGTGTGTGCTGGCAGCAGAAATTAGAAGCAGTCATGTGGCACATACCGGGCCCAGGTAGGATCCGAGTTCAGCACTCTGGGGTTTCCCACCACGATTAGCAGGGCTTTAGCTCGAGTCACGGCCACGTTGAATCTCTGGAAAAGAAGAGGGCGTGTGAGAATCCTGTCTTGTGTGTACATACACGGTGTTTGTGCATGTTTGCTTCGCATACCTTCTCGTTCTTGACGAAGCCTAGGTTGAACTGTTTGTCTATCTCTACGTAATTGGGGCTGCTCCGAACTGTAGACACCATGATCACTCTCCTCTCCTGACCCTGGAACTCCTCCACCGAACCAACCTGACACACACGAGTGTATACACACTTAAGACACTTCCTCTGCTGTGTGTTTCACATTACTTAAGTGTGAATGATTCTGTTACCTTCAGCCCGTCCATGTCCTTATTAAGGTCTTTACCAACTTTTGTCAGGGCCTTGCGGATTTTCTGCACCTATGTGACACAGAGGGGTGAAAAAAACAGCTCCAGCTCTTAATCAACATATAATTACATTGTTCCACTTCAACCTGTGTTCATTTGGACGTGGACTAAAGTAATCTGCAGCAACAAAAACATAAATTGTTCTAATCTGTGTGCGTTGAATGATTTCTGACCTGTTTCCTGTAGGGAGCGATGATGCCTATGTCTCTGGGTGAGATGGTGGACCGGCCCCTCTTGCCATCTGTCTGCATCAGTTTCGTCACGTAGTCCATGAGCACCTCCACCTCTGCTACGTTGAAGAATGAAGGACTGCTTTTCTCACGCTCGTCAATACCGGTCACACCTCGGAAGATCACCGGGAAGTTCTGAGAGGTATGTGAGATACAAGTTATATTTTATTATATAAACATTAAAAAGAAGATGTTTTGGGAGAACTTCTTTTGAATACTGAGCTGACAAATCAGTTTGCTTCTCTACTGTCAACAATCAATTTTAATTTAGTTTTTATTAAGATATTCTGTAAATTCATTAAATTAAATAAGATGTTAAATTTATTTTCCTTCAATTATTTTCATTGTCACTTAGTCTGCGTATTACTTTCTTGATCATTTTAATTGTTTAGTCTTTAACATATACTATGAAATTGAGAAATACAATCAGTTTCTTTAAAATTGCTTGTTTTTTTCCAACTGACAGTTAAAATTATATTAAATCTACAATGACATCATACAGAGAAAAATCTGCAAATCCTCACGCTGGAGATGCTGGCTCTAGCAAATGTTTAGCATTTGCTACAAAAAAATGACTGAAGTGATTAATAGCTGGCAATTCATTTTCTGTCAATCAACTAATAGATTAGGAAACTAATTGTTTCAGCTCTAGCATGAGAATGAAATGGCTCCATTACATATTGATTAACAGAGATATAATTAAGTCATGAGGCTCAGGCGTATTGGTGGTCATTTTTAATTCTTTGATTTCTAAACGTCCGTTTCTGTTTGCACACGGTCTGTACAGTACGAGTGTGCTAAAATAAAAGAAGAAGCACTACCTTGTTCTTGAGGTATTCCCATCCGCAGTAGGAGCTGCGCAAAATTTCATCGGCGCAACACTGCAGCTCGTTATCATAGAAGAGCTCATTGGGAACCTTCAGAATGGCCGGATGGGACCTAAGCAGGACAAACAAAATCAAATCAAAATCAAGCACTTCTTGTCAAGGAGTGCCGATAACAATCTCTAGTACCGAACCTGTAGTTGCGCAGCAGTTTGGTGACAAAGCGATTGTTGAACTCGCCCTCGTCCTTCCGGTACAGAGAGAAATCCTTCATCAGGCGCTCCAAGAGGGACACTCCTGCAGATAGAAGAGTCTTTATCTCCAGAAATGCACACACAAGTAGAGCAAGTAAACATTATGAAGTGTAAGTCTGTGTGTCAGCTAATACAGACCGTGTTGCAGAACTACGTATCCTCATTTATTCAAGCTACATTGTACTTAACAAGACAGTGTCTATGTGAGTGTGTCTGTACTTACCCATGCCGTATTTCAGTGCAAAGGGGGATCTGAGAATGGGTCCGAGCTGCTTGGGGTCTCCGGCCAGAACAACCTGACCCGACTCTGCATCGAGCAGCCCTTTGTTTTGTTTTGTGTTTTTTTTTTTGTCACAAGGAAAAGGTACAAAACAAGTACAATCAACAACAGTGCAAATTATGCTGCAAGACAATTGGTCACTAACAGTAAACAAAAGAAGTGTTGTTGTTTTTTTTTTTTAAAGCAATGGGGGTTTTTTTGCAGCCAAAAATTCTAGTTTCATGAGCAAAACTACCAAATAAATAATTCTCAGTTTATATATTTTCACTTACAAACTTGATTTTTGATTGCAGTGTGAGAAATTTGCTTTCAAAACTTCTTTTGTTTGTTTGCGTACTAAAGACACAAATATACCTTCATACAAAACCAACTAGTGTAAGAAAATGGTCAATGGCTTCTGCTTCTGAAGAACAAAGGGTTGTTTTGCTTGACTTTAGGAGCAATAGGATATGATAGATAAAAAGAATACGACTGTCGCCTTCAAGTTATCACATTATTTATCCAACACATGTATTAAGCAGCCCTTTGTCCCACAGATAACACAAATCAATCAACACATTAAGCAGGTTCAATAGTTACAGAAGAGTTGTTTACCTGCCAATGGGACTAAACATTCAGTCTCCACAGCGTGTCCTGCCTCGTCCACAAACACATGAGTGAAGTGACCATCAGGAATGTCTCCTGTGACCATCCTGCAGAGATCAGAGAGGACATACACAAACAGAAGCTCATCTGTGGACTTGACTGGTAATATTTTTGGATGACAGAGAATATAAACAGAATGTAAATACTGCAGTATGCAACAGTGAGATGCACATCTTTTTATGGTGTCATGCAGGTAAGCAAACTGCACCGTCACTACCTTCCAGCTGTTAACAGGGTGGTGACCATGATCCTATACTCCATCAGCTTCTCTTTAGCAGGATAAACGTAACACTCCCCTACCAGGTTAGAGCATGCCTGTGAAGGTACCACAATGACCGTGTACACAAACGTTAGTGAGGCTGGAAAAAGACCTGAGATTATAACAGTATCAAACACATAAAGCAGCAGGAAGTGCAGCAGTATTGTTATGTCGTCTATAGACACTGCTCTGCATCACAAAGTCCACTAGTAAGTAGACTATCTAACTGTGACCAATCGAATGAGAGTGAATGAATGTCACTTACTTTCTGCATCAAAGAGATGCTTCACATCAACATGCATCGAATGCATTGACACTGACCTTTAGTTCCTCAGGGACGTATCTTGGGTCACGGCTGCTGGCGTACATGCGGAACACTTTATGCCCGTCCACGTGGTCCAGAATCTTCTTGCAGATCAGATCGGCGGCGCTGTTGGAGGGAGCGCAGGCCAGGATGTGGCAGGCGGCCTGGGTCTTCTCTATCTGCTTAATGGCCTCCACCAGAGTCACGGTCTTGCCTGAACAGACAGGATACCCGAAATTGCTAAACAGTTTAGCTCTATTGACACAGTAGACACAGTGGACACGGTATTATGCTGGTACTCGCTGTACCTGTTCCAGGTGGGCCAAACACCAGGTATGGGGCAGGTTTGGATGAGCCAGCTACAATGTGTTGTACAGCCTGATACTGCTCTGGGTTTCTCTCCAGCTTTGAGTCAAACAGCCTATTGACAGAAAGATACAGGAACAGAGGGATGATGTCAGAGCAGAGTAATTCAATTTATTTTTGTATCGCCCAAATTACAAATTTGCCTCAGAGGGCTTTACAATCTGTACACATACGACATCCTCTGTCCCGGAACCCTCACATCAGAACAGGAAAAACTCTCCAAAAACCCCTTTAACAGGGAGAAAAGAGGAAGAGACCTGTGGGAGAGCAACAGAGGAGGGATCCCTCTCCCAGGATGGACAGAAGTGCAATAGATGTCATGTGTAGAGAATGAACAACATAACAGAGTTACAACACATTTAATGCATATGACAGTAATGGGTAGAGAGAGCCAGCCGCCATGTTTAAATGCACAGTGAATCACATACTCTTATCAGGTAACACAAGTACCTGGTTTTGGGTCAGCACTGTTAGAATAAATGGGTTTATCTTGTAATATGAGTAAAAGAAAGCTCTTTAAAATGTCTCCATTAATACGATATTTGATGCAGTACAGCGGCATCCTTTAGTGTTGTAGGACAAAAATGTATGCGTGTGCAATTATATTCCTTGCTTAAGAGTTTAGTACATAATCTTTGCTCGGGTATCATAATCTTGCAAACATATTCCTTGGGGTTAGTATTAGTTCATGTATCCTCACAGTGGCATATTCATAAAGCTGTGAATGGTCACGTATTTCATTTACTTTCATAATAACATGTCGGTACACTAGAGGCCTTCAGCAGTGCAGCCATCGCTATGTCCCAAGCAAACAAGCTCTCCTTTGTGCACGCGCTGCTGGGTCAGCTTGACCGAAGGGACTCAGGGTACACAGAGTCATCAAAACACAGATAGTCGAATGGTACAATGAATTGATAAGGTAAAAATGGAGACGTTATGTCTACATGACAAGTGCACAGAGCATCGTTAATTCTAACTGTATTACACGATGAACGAGATGACTGTCTAGAGGAACATTGGGAACGGAAGGGTGAAAAGAGGGGGGGGGGGGCGCGATCATAAAAAGGGGGAACAAGAGTATAAAGTAAGGCACATTTGGCTATCTTCATATTTCCCTCCATATTTGGAGCTGTAGTTAGGGTGTTGATATACAGTCTACATGCTGGCATGCCTAACCTGAGCTGGGGAAGCTCAGTTTGCTGAGAGGAGTCGGCAGGTGCAGCAGGTGCAGCAGGTGCAGCAGGGAACAACACCTCTCCCAGTCTGAATGTAGTTGCCAGCTCTGCTGCTCGGTGCTGAACGCGCACCGTCAGGCGGTTGACAGTGAACTCAACATTGAACTTCATGCCATCGACAAAGCGATCCAGCAACCTGCGAACAAATTTAGACAAGATGCGTATCTTTAATATTAACAAATGTTAACTATGACTTTTTTTTTAATTATAATAACAAAACTTTATTTATAGAGCAGTTTTAAAAACAGAGTGCTTTGACAGACAAAACGAAGGTAAATTGTAAACACTAATAAAAAGGTACAATAGCTAAAACTATAAAAAAAAAAAAAAAAAGGCAAGAAAGGCATCAACCGATTGTATGTTACCGTAATGTCTTGATCTTACTTTGACCCAAAGCCGAGTTTCACACTGTCCAGCAGCACACTGTGGACGTAGCCGCGGTACTTCACCCCTTTTTCTTCTGCAGGATACGCCAGCAGAGAATCTCCTCGTAGAACAGACGGGCGGTTCTCAGACACACCAGGTACCTGGCAGGTGAACAAAAATGAGAAAACACACGTTAATTCATTTTATGTCAATGAATATGACGATGAATATGTTGCTATTTTAAATTATTTTAAATATATCAGACATTTCTTTTCTTTTGGTTTTCTTCATCCTATATTTCTTTTCTTTTATCATAAATGCATCACAACCGGAATGCATGATTACACTTTAGCCAGTATACTGGAGATGTAAAAAAGTTTTTAATTACAAGGGATCATTATGATATGCCCAGAATTATCTATTAAACCTGAACATCTGATTATGTCAGACTTCCACTGATAAGCATCCCCTAAAACAATTAAAGTAGACCAGAGCCAGTACTTTAAATAAAAGTTAATCATCACTCATGCTTGCTTTACACTGCTAATATTTGCACTGTTTATATGTACTTGTCTGTTTTATTTATTCCTCCTCTCCAGGAACTACAGATACTATTTGGGTAGCTAGCTAGAGTTGGATAGCTTATCTTAAATAAATCATTAACAGAAGGAAGTGAAGGAATGAGCGATGATGTGAGTACTGCAAGTGAATGAGCGAGAGCACATAATAACCTCCAGAACGAGAAGTTTCTTGTCTCGAACCATGACGGCGTGTTCTTTTTCACTGTTGGGGATGTTGTATCTCTTGATGTCCACTTCCATCTGAAGCTCCTCCAGATACAGCATCAGCTGAAACTTCTCAGTGTAGTTCTCCCAGCTCAGGGGACTGTCCAGCAAGGCCCTCCTAAGCAGACCAAATGGAAAGAAACAATGAACAATGTATGGCAGTGTATATATTAAACAACAGAAGCTGGCTTGTTTTTAATATGCCAGGGGTGATAGCGCAGGACTGTGAGACCAGAAACCAGGTTTCACATCCTGAGTCTCGTCTACAGTTGAGTTTAAACAACAAGAGCACGTTGGTTTACAGTTGACTGTTAATAATCACGTTGTGGTAGTCACTGCAAGTGGATATTTTGGTGAAAAGCATTGTCATGACATAGCATCAACATTTTTCCGACTTGCCAGATATGTTAACAAACAACAATTCTTCATTATGTTGATAGAAAACAATTAACTGGACGGCATTACGTTTCCCTCAAAAAGGTAGTTGCTGTTGCAAGTTAGTCGTATGTAAACTTATTTTCTGCTACACAGTGATTTATAAAACACATTCACATCAAATGGAAAACACATCAGACAAACGCATCAAAAATGGAATTTACCTTTTATCACCGAAGTAAGTAGAATGCTTCAGTGACTGGATGAGCTGGTTCATGTATGCTGGTATTTGATACTTTTTTAGCTCAATCACATTTTTTAGTTGCATCACTGACAGCCTGGTAAGAGGAGACCAAATGAAAAAGGTTGCATACATCACTTCATTTTTTTTACATTTTGCTGTATATTTAGCAGTGTGTTGAGTGAACGCTCGTACCCTTCAGGTCGCTGTCCATCCACAATCGGGCAGTTGGCCTCAGGGGTCCAGGCAGGGAGGGAGCGGGGTTTATAGGGGGCTACAGGTGCCAGCTCCATTCCCAAGGCAGTTATACACTGAGCCTCAATGAAGCGCACGATGTGGAACGCAGCGGTGGAGGGCTGCAGGTCTGGTTTGAACTCGAAGGCCAATGTAGCTGGATAGAAACCAACCACACTGCAGCTGAAGATGACCTGGACTTCATATGTGTCACCTGAGAACAAGACATAACTGGTAATAATGTTTAGTGGAGTCATACTCTCAGCAGAGTAAAATATGCCATTATGAATTTATATGGAAAATGCAGGATAACCACCGCTGCACCTGGCTTCATTTTCACTAAGGATGCTGGAAGTATCAAAGACTTATCTGCACACTTAGATCACTGCAGAGTACTCTGCAGAGGTCTCAATGTGCAGCTATCTCTTTTATCATCATGAATTGATATGAAATGAAACTGTTTAGTGATGTTTGCATTACCTGGTTGTAAACACAGAGGGTTTGTCTTGGTCACCTTGTTCTCATCCTTTAAGATGAAGTCCCTGAGCCAGTGCAGTGGGGTGTAGTAGGTGAAATACACTGGTTCTGTTCCAGTGTTCTGCACGTTCAGATTCACCACACACTGTTTAAAAAAAGAACAGATCTATGCAGTGGAGCTTCACATTTCAGCAGATGCTCATCAGAGAATGCGGCAGTCATTGCATAAGTACCTGACATGAGCCATCAACGCGCAAGCTAAGTTTCCCTTTCTCAAACTGATGGTCGGAGTCGATGCAGATGCCACGTTTGTCAGAGATGAACTGAGCCCTATGGGGCACAAAGAGCAGGTTATGATGCACTGTATTTAAGGCAGGGGAGTGGTGTGTGACGTTGAAGATCGCAGAGCCAAATTTCAAATGTACTTTTTAGATATATTGTTGTTTTATTGCTGCATAGAGAAATAATACAGGCAGAAGAGAACGTAGTGAATGAAGGGCCATTGACAGAAGTTAATGACGGATATATATATATCTAGATATATCTAGATATATATATATCTATATATATATATATCTAGATATATATATCTATAGATAGATAGTAGAAAAAAACAGTGTCAAAAATGTAAATAAAATAAAACCTGTGCAAACAAAGGGCTCTTTCAACACTCTTGTAGTGACAAGCAGAGGAAAAAACAAACTCGCTCACAGAAAAGGCTTTTGGGGGGCGTGGCATTTAAAAGAGGACTCTCATTCTTTATTCCCGTTACCTGTCCGTCTTCAGTCTGGTCATCAGAAGGCTTGCCAGTTTCCTCCGGACTCGAACGCCCGTCTCGGCCTGATCTTCGGAGGTGTAGGCCTGTTCCGTCCTGGGACTGGCTGCTCCATTCTGGACTGGTTCTGGTGGACTGCCCCTTGGTGAATGCCACTGGTCCAGAAAAAGAGCTGTGACCTGTGCAGAGGATCACGTCGGGTCAATTTTGTCTTCAGATGGAAAATTCCTAAAATCATGTAACTATCCTCTATCAAGTTCTCTCTGTCATGATTTTTTTGTTAACAGTAGCAGACATAATGGCATCCTCGCCTGCTTTTAAAGGAACCTAATCTGCATATAGAAATAATCGATAGAAATGCATTGTAAGTATAACTAGCAAGCTTTGTCTTCAGACATTCAAACGGGCTTTTTCTATGACCGGAAGTTTTGTTTCTGAGAAAGTGACGCTATCCTCCTGCTACACAAACAGTCATTTTGCAAGTCATCGGCGCTTGAGAGGCAAAACATTTGCTGAAGAATTGACTCATTACTGTTGTCGGTTTAAAACATTAAAGCCCTGAAAACTTGGCTTCAAATTTCATATTTTTCCATAATATTAAATCATTATTAATAACTGATCCATCAGAATAATGTTTTAGAACCAAGATTAAAAAAAGATAAATATGTTTGTACTTTACATTGTAGCAGTGATCTGTGGTGCAAAGTGACGTCACTGTAGCATGTGACCTACTCGTTGTTTATTGCGTGCTCAAACGTGTAATAGACTTTGACACATCATTTAGAGCAATTCAACTTCAATTTGATTTAATTAGTTCATGACAGTTCTAAATAAAGAGACGTTCGAGTTATATCCACCCAACAGTAATTCCTTGTTTATTCTGATTCACGGCAAGTAATTAACTCATTATGAAGTGATTTAAAAGTATATTGAAATACTACATACTGTACTTAAAAGCGTGTACTAACTAACTTAGACAAAGTTGCGTCAAAACCTAAGCATGAGCCAGAAAGTACAGATAAAGATGAGCTTTGTATTTCCACTTCGGGTGATCACACTGTATTGATGACTGTGCGTTAGTGATCGGTTTCGATTAAACAGCTGGTGAAAGCCAAAGACTCCCCACTGACTCTGCTTAATCATTGAAAAAGCTGTAAATGCTGACACTGCTGTATACATCTGAAATAGGCTTAAGTGCCTAAAACATAACGCGGAAGTGCAAACCGTGGAGTTGAAGCGAATCGTATCCCTTCGTCTTGTTACTTTGTTGGACACCTTCAGGGCATAGAGGACTGAACCAAAGTTTGGGTCTTTGGTCCCTGAATTCCTAAAATAAACATAAAAACATTGAATTCCAGAAACATTCACAGAACTGTCCCACATATCCCCATAATGTAGAACAACTCACCTACTCCTGAACTCCGTGTTGTAAATGTCTCTCAGTTCAATTCTGTCTGTGATGGATGCTCGATGACTCTCCTTCAGGAACTCAAAGAAGTCGATTCCAATTTGGCAGCGAACAGACAATTGCATATTAACCATGATCGAAGATCGCTGTGACGATCAAAGATAGTCAAAGAAGAAAACGCCAGAGTCTGGAGACAGTGTAGCTCATCGACCCACAGCTTCAATTTGCGTCTCAGAGGAAATACCCGAGATTCTCCATTTTTATCTGTGGACAGTTCACAGGGGCGGTGTTTCTCCGTTTCTCATGTTAAGGAGCGGCGATACTAAGGCGGTCACGCGCGGATGAGTAAAGCAGCTGCACCCAGACAGCCAGTCAGTCCGGAGAAACGAAACTTAAGACGCTGGTCCCGTTAAACCGAAATGACTAAAGCAAAACCGCAAACAAATGTAATCAAAGGGTTCAACAGTAATATAGTCCCATTATATCCTCGTATTTCTGCTCCCTACTACTGCTACTACTACTAATATTTAACATCAATAATATAGACATTAAAGTGAAAAATCCAGCGCCTGTGTTATTTAAATCATGACTGTAAGGTTCAAATTGATCATACATACATCATTTATACAATTATGTTTCACCATGGCCCCATAAGTGATCACCTGGGGGGGCTTACATGAAAATAGAAAAAGAGGATATGAAAAGAGGATTATAATTAGAATGAAAATATACATTTATAAGTGATTAAAATGGAGAGTAACATTCGTGGAATAGAAATGTGAGGCTTGTCTGGATCAATACAAAAAGCACAGGACTGTGGTGGAAAAACTATTCAATAGTGAGTCCTATAATACTGAATACTGACACAAGAAACATCGAGAGAAGAAGTTTGTCTTTAAAGTATTTATTCTCTGCGCAGAGAAGGCTTCACCGTCATACTGACTGCAACACAGTCCGCAGAGGATGAGCCAAGAGATCAGTTTGTCTCCTGCTCTTAACCATCTCAGCCATCAGGTATTTACATTACAACAATTGATCAGCAGTTTCAAGCTCCCCATTGACACCCTCCAGTCACCCCTTCATCTTCTGAGTCTTGTCACACAAAGAGATCTTTCTTTATTACCTTTGATTATCCCTGGGAATCTTCACACCCAAACATTCTCTGTTTAAACTGCAAACCCCCATTTGGTTACTTCCCCTGATCAAAGCAAAGACAGAGACACCCCTATGGTCCTGTTACCACTATCTTAGGTACACAATCATATGTCACACATATAGTTTTGTTCGTGAGTAAGGCACATAAACTAAATCACAGTAGACATGTACTAGCACACTAACATGTTCTATCACAGGACATAGCAGCACTGTTAAATCTGGAGAGTGTGCATACAGTTTTAAGTCTCCATTGATTACTGATTCACTCTTTAAAACCTAAATTACACTGAATGGCATTTTATGACATGAGCATGCGGTCACATGCATGTTGATTGACTGGGCCTCTGAATGCTAACAGTGGACACAGAGTGCAACAGTTTCACACTTTTCTCAAGTTTTTTTTTTTTAATTTAGTCTAGATTGCCAAAGCAACTCTATTAAAACCTTTGAGTAAGTTTTCAAAGTTAAAACTCTTGAAACAAATACTTGTTGAGATTAAAACTGGTTTCAGTTGTTTGATTTTTGATTTTCCTCTTTACAGACAAAATCTGTGTTGGCATCAACAGTAGACTAATCCTCTAGGAAGTACTCCAAGTAATTCAATAAACATTTCTTTGGTCTTAGATACATTAATTCATTTTATATATATATATATATATATATATATATCACAAATGAACAAACTGAGTTGTGATTGTGTTCTTAATCACACAAAGATGCTCATAATTACAGTCATAGGCAGACTTATAATCACTCTTCTCTTTGCGATTTTTCCAACAATTATTTGAGTATGAGACAAATAAAAGGGGGAAATACTACAGATATGCAAATATCTATTGACTCAACTACAGTATGTCGAGTCATCTCATTGTTCCGGGTAGTAAAGTATCAACTGACACACATTCCGCTGTCATTTCTTGTTCCACATTTTGTTTGCGAACCATAAAGTGAGTCAATATTTTCTGCTGTCAGTTTTCAGCAGGTGACACCGATTGTTACCATGGAAAACCTTATAATTAGATTGGCTTGCCATTACGTTTTCACTTCCTTAATAATTTGAATTTCTGTAATAAATCTGAGATGTAGGCAGTGATTCATAAATCTAGAAACAGGCTATGGGCAGGGTGGCAAACTTTTTTGGCTGGCTGGGCTGGGCCAATGAGATATACAGTTGGTTCACTAATTAATAAATATCATAAGGGACACCTGTTAGAGGATCCTACTGATCCTTGTTCCCCGTCATACTAACTCTCAACAGGAATGCAGTCCAATGTCCAGTATCTATACATCTACTATGTATGGGCCTATGTGCTGCTTGGATGGTGGCTTTAAATCTTTCCCCGGCTTTGTCTCAGTCCACCCCCCTCCTCCCTTCTTCTTAATTTATGCTCCTGCCAAACTTCTGGCTACATCATCACAGCCATCCGACGGTCATAGAGACCCAAGATGCGCCGGACAGTCTGGTCCCGGGGCCTATACACAAAGGGCATCCTGTTTTCCTAGGACACCGTAGGGGTGACATCGCGGCCAGTCCCAACTGGACTCTACCTAATTTTAGGACTCATGAAAGGCATGAATCCAGTGACTACTCCTATGTCAGTGACTGTATGACTATGCCGGGGCCTGAACTGAGTTTGATACAAAAGAGTATGAAAGTGATTATAAAGATTACCTGAGCAAATGTATACTATCGACTCAGAATCAAAATATAGTTGTAAACGCATACATTTTACAGATAGATGAATAAACACATATGATAACCTTGGAGAAAATAATATAGTGGCAAACGCATACATTTTTCCTCCCTCACAACCCAAACATCCCTTAGTCTTCAAGACGATTGTCAGACAAAAGAAGGACATATAGTATGAATTGTGTGAGTATACGTGAATGTGCATATTACCGGAGGTTCCCTGAGTGTAGACAGATCTTCCTCTGCATCAGAGACTGTAATGCCACGGTAACCCCCTTCTTTGAAGCATTAACGGATGAATCTAAAAAGAAAAGTCAGTTTATGAGGCATTAGTTTGAGTTATTCGTCCAACCAATCCTCCCCCACTGAAAGAGAATTAGACTGATGAGGACCTGTAGCCTTACTTGTTCCAGATTTGGTCAGTTTTCAAGACTCTCGGGTTTCCAACCTCAATCAGCAAGGATCGTGCTCGGGTCATTGCCACGTTAAACCTCTGGGAAGATAGTGTCAGTCAGTGTGCACGTAGTATTGAGTGGCTGTGAATCAAACTGCTTACTACCATTGTGGACAGTTGTAGTTTCATGGAAATCAATTTCGTCTGATTAATATAGAAATGTGTTTGCAAGGTTGTTGTCGTTCATCAGACGTTCCAACATGGATACACCTGCACAGAGTCTTTAGACTTCCTTAGGCTCAGGCAATAATGAACAGAATTCAGACACCACTTAAGTGAAAGTTCAAGATCTGTTCCGTTAGTAGCTTCAATTTTCACTGTTATTTTCAGATTTTGCATTAAATGAACGTAACATTGATTAAATGTTATGTTATCTGTTTAAAAAGAGTTCTCTGCCAGTCTGGATCAGATGACAGGGCGTAACTGTTTATGGCCTCCAGCCAGCACTACTTGGCATTTCTCTCGTTTCAGAAGACCTTTGGAAGAAACCCAGGCATATTAAGGGCACACCTATGGGGCCGATCACGTGTGGCTACAAGCACGGCCGCTTAAAAAACGCCCCTTGGCAAAGCGAGTCGGGCAAAACAGCTGATGAGCTGGTGGAGCTGGGGTGCGTGCGCAACCAGGCGATCAAATGTAAACAACGGGGGGGGATGATTCAATTCAGACATCGACCACTTGCTGTTGCTGCGGTATTGAAATACGAGGAGGGGGAAATTAGATGGTTAATCATAATTAACTATCGCAAATATAATGTCCGTTCCTATCTACGGGCATCAAAATAGGAAGTCAGTGGTAAAGCCCGCCTCTTGCTTTATTTGACTGGCTGCCTCGGTCATGTATGACACTGACTCCGTGCCTGGCTCTGAAACGTTGAAAAATATTTTAACTTTCATGCGCGTCTAAAAACTGCCGGAAAAACGCAGCGTGCGGCGCAAGAGAGGAGCGCACGCGTGGCCAGAGGACAACAAGGTGCGACGCGTTTCTAGCGACGCGTCTCGGTGTGATCGGCCCCATACAGAGTATAAAATGCTGCACGTTAAACAAGCTTGCTTGCTCGTCACCTGCTAAAGGGATGAGACACTCGGTTTCTGCTGCATGGCCGGCCTCATCCACACATAGATACGTGTAATGACCTCTGGGAGTCCCTACAGTCACTAGCCTGACGAGAGACAGGGAGAGAAAGACATGGCGGATCTTTAACTTTCTTAACTTCTCACACATGTGCCTCTTTTTGATACAAGTTGATGTAAATGTGAAATAGGGAGTGACATGTTCACATGAAACAGGCCTGCTACTGTAAGTAGATTAAGCAAGTAAAGTACTTCGCATTGAATTGACAATCCTACTTCAAGTGGATCTGAAGTCATTTGTTTATCGTAATTTTGAAAACATTCAATGTATAAAAATGACACATAATGCTCAAATGAAACATTTTTGCTAGTATGTCATGTTTTGCGTGTTCACTATAGCTCAGTGTGTGCTTGTGTTAGCCAGGAGGACAGAACAGGAAATACTGTGATCTGTGTGTTGATGAATCATAGGTGTAACTAATTACATTAACGATGGCTGTTCCCAGCAAGCCACTCTATTGAGCCAGCATGCACATTGCCACACCTAAATGCAGCCATTAATTATATTAATAATCACACCTGTGCTTTTCCTGCTGTGAAATGTTCTGTACAATCCTTATTGGCTATTTAAGGAAACACATAACAAATACAAGAACATACTATACCTTCCTGCAGTTTGCAGGCTGGTGACTATGATCGTATGCTCCATCAGCTCATCTCTAGTGGGAATCACACGTGTCTCTGTTTCATGGCTCAGGTTACAGCAAAACTATAGAAAACCACAAAGCACATACGTACATATAGTACACTACATGTGCACAGGCCAAATAAAGTTTGTCAGGATTTACTTAAAATCAACAGAATATCAGCGAGTGAAAGATATTTGATCGAAGTGATGTAGC